GAATGGCAAAACTGACTGATGATGCCGGCGAAACGTTTGAGAATGTACCAAGTCCACTGTCTGATGCTGGCCAGCATAACAACTAATAGGGTTGACGACTTCGGACTGGTTGCGACAACGAAGTCAACCCACTTGCATCAGTTACTATCGTTGGTACTGTTTTTGGTAATCCCTTTTTCCCATTGTATACAATTGTTTTCACTTTACCCATTCATCCTGCATCATGCTCTTTCAGCGTTTGAGGATCATCACGACTCCCGAGGAGAAGCCGATCTACAACGACCAGAGCCTGGTGATTGTTTCTAGCCACGAGGTCGAGGTGCTCAACGGTGAAGAAGAGAAACAGGACCAACAGCTGACAGCCAACGAGACGATTTAGTCAGCATAGCTCAATCTCGGACCAGCCTCCATTAGATTGTCCGAGCTTGCCGGTGCAGGTGGCGTCGAAGGATGAGCTCTCGAACCCGAGATCTGCTGTCCAGGGCCTCAGTTCGTCTGAAGATTATTTGACGTCCCACCCACCTCCTGAGTGAGTATGTTGACAATAGTCCTGGTCGCCAGGACGTCGTGTCTGGGCCAATTGTAAGAGATGAGCCAGGACAGCGTGAACCAACAAGCATCCTAAACATAGCTTCCACCCCGGTCCACAGTAACCTTTAATTGTTTTTCGAAGAACCGATCCAAACAAAGCGAACGCCCACCCAGCTTCTGTCAGGAACAGCAATTTGATGGAAAACATAGAACACTTTTTTTGGAGAATGCCTCCAAATTGGATCAGCTGCCTTTTTTGTGATCTGGCTTCGCCTCAAATGGGCTATTCGAGATTCTCTTTTTCATTCCTTTTGCCCTTTGGCGGTCCCGATTCAGCAAACAGCAAACACGTAAATATCTGTTCGTATATGAAAACACACACATACATACATATAATGTGTGTATCCATGCGCAACTTGTTAACATTTCTTTTGGACAATCTATCCCTGACGAACCACACTGGCGCATCCCATTGCTTGCGTTAAACTATTTATTCAATTGCTCCCTTATTTATGATTACTGCATTTCGTGCTTTGCTGATTCTTCGCCGTGGAAACGAAAAGAGCAGCGAGAAGAAGCAGCCGTCATGTGATACACCGTGTTTCTATCGCATGTCTGCTTGTTCACGTGTTCACATTGTCCGTGGGATTGTGCATTAATGAAAGAGCAATCTGTGACCATTTCTTTTATTTATTTATTTATCAAAGTGCAGCACTACTGCACGCTTCTTTTGCCACGTCGACGTATGCTTCCGGCACAGGCGACATTTATCCCATTTCTATTGCAGGCCGTCAATGGAATAGGTCAAATTTATTCACTTATTTCTCAGCTTTTATCACTTTTCACGCTCCATTTGCCACATCATCTTGTCATCCGTGACTCATCATCCTCATCACCACGACCACCACAACCACCACAACCAGCCTCATAAGCATAAATATCATTTACTTCTATTTCCACTTTTTCCTCATCGTCAACAGCTTAGTAGTAATAGTAATAGTAGTATTTTATATTTTGGTGCACTTTGTTTATCTTTTCCGTTCTCTTCTTCACCTTGACGCGCTACCCCTCCTCCTCGAGGGGTAGGCTGAAAAGGGGCCTGCTCAACGTGACAAGCGAATGCGCTTAGTAAAGCTACATTAACGAATCAGTTTATAGACGTTTGCATGCAAATGTTGGTACATTTTACTATATTTATGGTAGATCCATGCAAAGATGCCAGCTGCCTTTAAACCGTCAGAACCGATGCCTCGTACAGTGTCACTCGGACGCCATAGCAAAGCCCGTTCACTGGTTGCAAAGTTCGCTACAACCCATTTCTAATCAGACAGAGTGAGATGTTACGATGAGTTGGGCAAGTTATCCACCTTCTCTGCCCGGCCTCGTCTGCCGAAGCCAAGCTGCCTCGACTGTTCCGCAAATGAGCATTACAATTGCAGTCGCTGTCTCTTCTACGCCCGACAAAAGTGGCACCTTGGCTCGGCTTAAACGACTCGCGAATGTTCTACTCTTTGCCAAAAGCTCAGCATCCACGACCGCCGCAGAGATGGGATCTGGCGCATCAAACTTTCTGCTTAACACCTGTCGAAGACAGCATTTTAGCCGTTGGATTTTAGCCATTTCGCCACAACTTTCTAAAAGCCATGATCTATGTTTTTCCTTTTCATTCAATAAATTTGCACACATTCGGCAGGATGATATGCGCAACCTTGTATTAAATAGCGTAATTGGGTGTTTGTTGAATGACCCCGTAAATGCGTCCGGCTTCCATTTTCGGTACGAAGCTTTACACAAAAGCAGCCAGAATATACCAACCAATGTTACAAGGCTTCAAGATCAGCATTAGATCGCATTAAGTGAAGACTGATCGTTGGGTTGGCTACAATGAAAAGAGCAAAGCCCTCGGCATACCATCGACTGCGCATAGCATGAATAAGTGAACTTGTTGCGGTTACTCATCTGAATGCCAAACAGAATTTAAAGCTGGGTCGTAACCGTCAGCAATGAAGGAGAGTCAATCCTCATTCTGATCGCATTTGAAGCAGCATATATTTGGCATTAAAACAGACTACACTATGAAAGACAAAAAGAGTAAATCTTAAAGCCATCACGCATTAAGACATGTCAGTCTTGAATGCCGCCTGCGAAATGAGGTTGAGTTAACTTTGATGGCATCTTGATGTCTACTAATTCCATTATGAGAAGCGCAAGTGTCAAGTCGTAAGAAAGCTAGGCTTATTCAAGATCAGTGACAGTTTCGGAAACCACTATCCGAGAAGATGGCAGTAGGGTTGATTGTAATGGCAAAACGAAATCAGTATTGAAGGGCTCTCGAAAATAGCGGAATATCGTGGACAGTGGCAGTAACACCCTAATTCGCACGAGGCGATGAAGGACTGACAGCTGTATTTTGTCGCAAAGATAGTAATAGACAACATGTTTCCATTGACTTTTCACTCCCATACAGTATTCTACTCAAGAGCGGATTATTGTGGAAGCAAAGCTATATGGAATTCCTTGGAAACGTGACGCCTAATATTATCATTGCAGGGAATTATCAGTCGTTTATCGTCTCGTACGAACTAGGAATACAACCTCATCGAATATCAAATGCATGGCTTGTATTGAAAGCCACATCTAACTAGTGGCACGCGGCTGTACTGCAAACGTAGCGCATTGTCACTCGACGCATCTAACCTGATTCCAAATCTCTTTTTATGCGATGATTATACCAAGGTGAAATCGAAACTGTACTCCAGCTAGGAAAGAAAGTTGCTTAGGAGGCTAGGCTATGCGAGATTCCCTGCAAGCGAGGCCGATTAATATTATAGTGGAGAAATCAACTATCGCCCACTAAACAGTCTCTAACAATCTGATTTGACTCTAGTTGTAGCCAGTAAACAATCGAGTTTCAAAGGCCAATCTTAGATGTCCACAAAAAATGCACTTAGAGCACACTAGGACTGATAGCTGTTTAAGAAATTCCCTAAAAGATAAATAAACATTGACGGAAAGCTCGACATTCGCCGAGTGGATTCCTTAAACATGGGTAGTGCAACATATCGTCCATATTTATGAGAAACATTTATGTTGCTGTAGCCACTGTCATTTTTAGCCGACTTCTGAAGTTAGGCATGGCGTCACTCGCTTCTACCTGACCAGCAAATTAGCAGGCTTTGCTTCATAATGACTCTATATTGCCAGCAAAATAGGCCAAGTCGCAGCAAGCAGTTTGCTGAAATAACCTAATCGGATTTAGTCCAAACCTAACTTTGATAGGTAGTTAATTTAAATGTGAAATTAAGCCTTGCAGAGACACCTTAATATGATAATGCTGATAAGTTCAATTTCAAGATGTTCGCTTTATTGCAGAGTATATGCTATGGCAAATTACGAAGAAATTGGCAGGTTAGAATAGGCCTGATTCTTGATAGATGAACCTGACAAGCTGATCAGCCTCCGATGGTAAAGTAGACTTAGGACCAATCATAAACGTGAAGTTCAAATTAACCGCCATAACAATAAACGAAGAGGTATAAAAGTGACCAGTTTTTCAGGATATGCTGGGCTGGAGATAAAACCTGGGACTGGGATTAAGTCAAGGGGCTACCGATATAACCATGCAGAAAAGGTAGTTGTTATCTTACATTCAGCAAATGACAATTCTCGCACAGACAAATCAAGAGTTAGCAGTCTCCGAGTCCGAATTGCTGAGTGCTATAAAAAAAGTATGCAGGTAGGAAGTTAAGCTTGTGGACGATGAACAGGCTATGCAAATTTATAGAATAGAGCCCAAGTGCGTTCAGCGAAACGGAGAACAATTCAAAGATCGAAATAAAAGGTATGCAGAAAGTTCCTGTCTCACGATTCAAAAAACTGCCTTAAGAAATCTCCGATTTGGAAGGATACCGGTAATAATTTTTGTAAGTAAACGATAAAAAGGCTATAAACAAAAAAGAAGACTTGTCAAGAATCTATTTTCTTATTCGTGTTGAATAATGCTGAGCAGATGAGGTACAGAAGTTGATCGTCGATCAGTCCAAAATTAAAGGCGCATGATATGAATACAATAAAGTGAAAAAAGTAAATATATTAGGTATAGACGCAGCAAGATAATTTTCCAGATTCGAATAATAGATAGGTAAAGAGATATGATATTGGAAGAGAAGATGTACTATGCTTAGCCAAATAAAACTCGGACACAGAAATTC